ATGAAGTATTAATATATATAGTATTTATACTTTATTGTGTACAAGTGAGTGACTGTGTCACTCACTTGTTTTGCCTTTCCGGAACCCCTCCACTAACCATTAAACTGTATAGAGTACTATGGTATTAAAGTTCAAATTAACTTTTATGTATTATTACGAATCTTTTGTACGGGAATATAGAATCGTTTTTAGACTTTTTCAGGCACTTTTTTAAATTTTTCTCTCCGTAAGAACCATCTTCCTACTTCAAGGAATATTATAAAAAAGAATTAGCGAAATCCATCCAGCCGTTCACGCGTGATGGCGTGACCAAGGGAAATAGGGATTCATTTTTATATATATAGAAGATTGTTCACTTTCCACAAACTTCCCACTCACCATTCGGGTAATATTGCATACCTTATTAGGTACAAAATTACGAATATACATAAGTTTAACGCAAGAAGTGAGTGACTTAGACACATCATAAACTTTTATAGCGCGTCTTCGAAGGACGTACATCATTCTGGGTAACCTACTCACCTACTTGAAACTTTGATGTGAGTGCACACTTAGTGCATGGAAATGGGGCAATTAAATTTCCAAGCGCAGAGATTCTCTCGTACTATGCGAATTGCCGAGACGAGAGGCGGAGGCACAGATTAGACGTCCAAAACAGATTATTAAACTCGCTACTAACTCGAAGTCTAACTTCTTCGCTAATAACAACTGTGTTTTGAAAATATGGAGACTTTTCATGAACTTGTAAAAACACATCTGAGATATGTTCACTAAAACAAATCGTTACTAAAATATGGCATTTGCTAGCTTTATTGCAGACAAACAAACACCTTATTAAATACTGGCGTGCAATGTATTATACATACAAAATTACAAACCTTCCACTTGAATCAGTAAAAAAAAACAATCTATCTAGTAAAAAAAAAAACCGCATCAAGATCCGTTGCGTAATTTTAAAGATCTAAGCATACATAGGGACAAACAGAGAGCGGGACGACTTGTTTTATACTATGTTGTGATTAAAATATCTTTATCTCTCTGCTCTAGATTTAAAATGGAAGCTTTTCACCTAAACCCATCGACTTTCCGCACACATAAAGCTCTTACTTTTTACATTTAAGTATTCAAAATGCTACTTTTAAAATATATTGAATAAAACCGTGAATGGGAGAAATCAAAATACATTCCCTTGCTTGCGTTTCAAAAGCCCGTGAAACAAACATCTTAATATGTTCCAGAAGTTATCTGCTAGAGAAACTGTATCCTAAAAAACTTTTAAATATTTATTCGTCTTGTCAGTAGAATGGCTTAGCGGCGAGCGTTCGCGCGGCCGGAATATTCCGAAATATTGCATATATTTTTAGCACCCGAGGCCGGCCCTGTTTACATGTTTTCTTATTACGATATTTATGTTATGTAGCTCACCGAATGCTATTTCCACGAATCGAATGTTGTAAGTATTATCCGTGGATCATCCTTTTTTATCTTATATCTGATTAAGTTCGAACTGGCGTCTCTTTAAGTACGAGTACTGTCGCGTTTGATCGAGAGCGGTGATGAAGCCGAAGACTAATTCTCACTTTGAACAAAACTACTAATATCTTTTACGTTATCAGGCCTATAAAAGGATTTAGAGATTTCCCTTTTTCCTCGTTCAACATAACGTAATATTCACGTCCGCGTTTCCGTATACATGATATTTTTCTAAGTGAATAACCAAGAAGTGTTTTGATCTGTTTTGTCTGATAGAACCAGCGCATAGACTTCGCACGCGGAGACAAATTAAAGTTTCGTTGATGTTTTCTTACGGAAAATATTAAATATTGTGATTAATAATTCGGAAATATAAACTATATTCAATAAAAATAAAAAATAAAATACAAGCCTTGTCACTAACGAATTATCTGTATATCTATTTTTGTCAGCTGTTTTTGGAATTGGTTCAGTACTCTCAGAAACTTCGTATTCAAAACAAAAACCAATTTTACTCTTTTATATAACGGATCACTTACGCTGGCGATGGCTCGATGACGCCGTTGCTAAGTTATTGGCTTCGAAGTCGAGGGTCGTGGGTTTGATTCCCACATGGGACAAGTATTAGTGTGACCCACAAATAATTTGTCCCGGATCTGGGTGTTTGTTTCCCAAGTAGGTTTGACGTCAGGCAGGTCGCCGGTTGTAAAATCATAGCATAAACCGCTTACAGCCTGATTCACATCTTGTGCCTACCTAGGTGGGATAAGGGCAGGAGGATGGTGATTACTTACGCTGGAAAGGGCCCAAGCCGAATTCCGAACCTACATCTGCAGAGCCCCGTTAGTCAATTATCCATCTCTCGTCTACAGATGCACCACCTTCGTTGGTTTTCTCCATTAGACGTCTACCAACGGATCACTCCTGACTAGCAGCGTGCTACACTTCACAAAAAAGTTAACTTTTTTTAACATTAAATTTTGACTTTTTAATTTAGGAATAATTATACAAATATAAAAAAGTAAAATTAATTTCCTCCGCCTTCATTTACAAATGTTAGCAAATTTCTTTCTTAGGAAATAAACATTTTCATTAGTGAATGCTCAATTTTTTTTAAACAAGTTCTAAAAAATTCTAGATTAGTAAAGAGTGGTTAGCTGGAAAAAAAAGTGAAATTTAGAATGCCCTGTTAGTTGTTTTCCTTAATATACTGTTGGAAAATTTAGTATGAATACTAATATGGAGTATATTGAATTAAAAGCAAGCGCCCGGTTACCGAGCTATCATGGCTCTGAAGATTAACACAACTAGAGCAAAAGTGTAAGGTGTGTTGGTATGAGCCATAGTTAACTGCAGTTCCTGGACGATGTTTAAGATTTGCAAGTGAGCACGTCTTTAGGCCTTGGCTGCTATGGGCTTCTTGCAATGCACCGTGTTATATGGTGTATGAATGGTTCGTTTGAGGGCATCCATGGATTTGCTTTACTTTTTTAACCCTTCGCGCGGGAGTAAGGGCAAGGGCGGGGACACTCCTCTCCCCTCTGGGCCCCACCACAACTGCATCAGCGGTGCAGCCCGCCTAGTCGCGGAGAACGCAATACCGTTACTCCTCTTTCCCCACGACTCCTCCTCGGTAGCGGAAGACAGGCCCACTTGGAGCAGCAAAAAAAAAATCAAATCCAATTGAGCAAGTAAGGACAAGTTACAACTGCGAAGTTAAAACTGCACTTACACAATTATTTTTTCTGTTGAGGTCCCAATCATTTATTATGGTCAAAGGAGTCTATACTCGTTTATGTAGCATTTTGTTATTGATAAAAATAACGCCTTTTTTATAAGTTAACAGACGTTACTCTTGAGACATCATGCTCAAAAGAGCTGATCTAAAAAGACTATATACATACGAACAAGTACATTTTTACTAACAAAATACAAAACCAACAAATATGTGGCTTATTATACATTTTCTATTTGATTTTGAGTTAATTAATAGGACACAAAATAAACATCCACAGAATTTTATCCTTTTTTTAAAGTTGGTTGATAATTACATTTCATAAATCGTTCGTGTTTTCCGTAAATATTTTTGTAATAGTCACAAAGTTGATTTTGATACAGTAGTTACATTTATGTGTTGGTTGTGTTTACGTGTAAATACAACAGTTAATAATTGGGCTGTAATTAGAATTGAGTTAGCGTTAATAAATTCATATGTAAACATTTTAACATGGCATCACATAACTAGTAGTTAATGAGAAATAAAACATCGATCGGCCTAATTTTAGGTAAGACGTAATTATCATGTAAAAAAATTCCAAATGATCTTTTGTCAGGTATAAAGTTAATAAAGGTTCGGCAAACTGTGTCTACAAAAAGGTCAAGTTGGTAAATTTCAAAGCAACTTTAAAGGCTAGCTGACCAAGTGATTCACAAACTGGAATATTGGCTTGGAGTTGGCTATTTCCGCTCTTGATCAACTTTGAATTATTATTTATAATTTATATTCAGAGTTACACAGAACTATATAGATGACTCAGTAGCGCATTTGTTAAGGCTTTTTTTTTCATGTGAAAAGTTGAGCAGGCGGTTCACCTGATGTTAAGTGAATACCGCCACCCATGGACATCTGCTACACCCGAAGGTTGACAACCTTTTGAAAATTGGGCTCCGGCTACCTCACTCGCCAGGCGAAACGCGAAACTATTTATTATACTTCCACTTTACGTCTGTCTTCTGTGAGGTCGTGGTACTTACCCGGATGAGCCTGCCCATTCTTGCAACAGCCGAGGCTGCTGCATGGCCCTACCACAGTTAAAACAAGACAAAACAGACAAAGTAATTATGTGACCCTCAGATAAATGGGTCTTTATTACCAAGGAGGGTGGATGAGAGGCAGGTGGTAGGCCGTAAAAGAACCAACCAATGTCATTATCAACATGATTCACTTGTTGTGCCGACCCCATCTAGGTGGGATAAGAACAGGAGAAAGAGGAAGAAGAATAGTGTTATACAAAGATCTTTATTAGGCTATTAACAACATTACCGAATTTAAATACAACTTTAACATTTACACAGCGAAAGTCTGGTGAAAATGGACACTGGTAAAAATTGTTCGGGATTAGAAGTTTATCTTCCTCCATAACTGTTTTATTTAGTCTAGTGTTTTATTCAGTTTGGTAAGAGTTTCTAGAACTTCCCTGAAATAACAATGCGTTCATCAAGCTGAAACACGTTAGAGCTGTACACTAGGCAGCTTTAAGTGAACGCTAAAGAATTGTTCCCACTGACGATATGTAACGATTTTAGAACCCAGTTTGATTCGCTGAAGCTTTCACCGTCTACGGACTGATAGCAAAATATCGGTCAAAGTAAAGTAACTAAAGAGTTAATAATTGATAATTACTTTGTTAAAGCCCACTTATGTATAACCAATGGGAGAAATTAATTTATTATTAGACGGGTGTGCTGGTACCGTTGCTAAGTAAGCTACTGGGTTGGACACCGTGGGCCGTGGGTTCGATTCGCTCATGGGATGGTATGTGTTATTCGTAACTACAACACAGAATTATCTTATCTACAGTAGAAGTATCTAACGGTTGTATGGGGCATTTTAATAATTTAGAATTACTTCTTCCGACGTTCTGTCTTAAATTTTTGTACTAAGACTGTGTTATGTATGTATGTAAAAGGTCCTTTAAATATAGGCTATTGGGATTTTTTTTAATGTGAAAAGTTGCCAAGCGAGCAGGTAATTCAACTGATGTTAAGTGAATACCACCGCCCAAGGACATCTGCTACACCCAAGGGTTTGCTGTTGCGTTGACAACCTTTTGAAAATTGGGCTCCGGCTACCTCACTCACCATACGAAACGTGAAAGTATTTGTCATACTTCCACTTTACGCCGGTCTTTTGTGAGGTCGTGGCACTAACCCGGACGAGCCTGCCCCTTCGTGCAACAGCCGAGGCTGCTGCGTGGCCCGACCACCGTTAAATTCGGATCTACGAGAAGGGTAATGTTTTAACCTACAAAAAATATATCACAAACTTCCGTGGTGGCGGAAGCAACTAATCGGTGACTAAATAATTTAACGGTTAAATGAGTTTAGCCGTTTATTTAGTTAGTAATGACTCACGAAAGTTTAAATAATGTACTTAATGAGTGTGGTAAAAAAAGCATTATATGTGTAAAATCGTTTAGCAACATGCCAATTGAACTTTCAGGAGCTATAAAGAAATCAGAGCATCAGATAACGTATTGATGTAAATGAGATACGATAGGAGAATGAGTCAAATATCGCTCCCCTCAAACTCTCACTTTGAACCTTTGCATGTATTTTTAATAAAGAGTAAAAATTTGGCACAATACTCTTTATATTTTTATACAACAACAAATATATTTTTTTTATATTTTTATACAACAACTTTATATTTTTATACAACAACAAATCAAACAGTACTCTTTGTATTATTGATTCATCTGCTAAACGTCGTTCACGCTGAAGGCACATTTTTTAAACGTACTGACAATGACTTTCTTATCCTATCCCACTACCACTACTTAAATGTGATGGGCCTTCAGGCTCAAAATTATTTTTTAGTCCAGTAAGCCCATTTATATTTGCTATAAACATATTATCACTTTAGGGTTACGCCTTAAGTCATATAACACCCATTAGCGGACCCGACAGAAGTTGTCCTGTAAACACGACTGTAATCCGAAAACAACTTATTAATAAAAAAAATGTAGTGGACCGAATTGTGATTCCAAACCATTCGGGAATCGACCTGAAGACATACACATAATTTCATTAAAATCGGTCCAGCCGTTTAGGAGGAGTTCATTGTATGTCAATGAATCACACGTACAGAAAAATTATATATATAAAGAAGATAAACTTTAGGCTTGTGCCTTAAGATTATCAACACAAGTAAAATCATGCTATGCCTTTTCCCTTATAACTTAAAACTAGATCAATCTTTGTTGTAAATTTTAACTAAAAATGTAAAAAAAAATAAGCAGTAATTTATTAATTATTGAAATATTATCGAGATATATTAATGAATAAGAGATTTTAGCTTTAACTAAGATCAGACATTGATGCGCCTTGAAATTGTACTAAACATATTTGTTACGAAGGTCGATAGTCAATCAACCCTGAAATTCGAAGAGCGTCAAGCCAGACTATCCGTGAGTCGTATTCCGAAATAAAACTATTCGCCAACGTAATGTGCGGGAGCGTTGTGCGATTTCGAAGTTATCGATAAGATATCGTTGGCATAATTTATTTTATCGATCGTCAAATATATCCAATTTAACTAAACCGGGACGGAAAGGTCTGTATGTCTAGGGATGTACCTGTGATCTTATGTGGCGTTTCTTGTATTCAGACGGATTAAAGGTAACGATAAACTTTTTTTATTCCATAGTCACAATTAAAATCCCTTAAACTGTTATGAACTAATGCTTACTTGTCTCCCACCAGATGGTAAGTAGCTGTAAAGTCGTAGGTTGTAAACGCTTTATTCTTTATGAAACATTGATAAGTTGTTGTTTTTTGCAAATCAGTATCAATTAATGTTATAAAAACATTTTGCCTTTTATAAAAAAAATATCAATAAAACTTTGAATTCATTTAGATTTTTAATCTTATTCTTAAGAACTCGCTTTAAGGAACGCCATAAATTGAATGTTAACTACATTCAATTTATGGCTACATATTTTATAGCGATACTATTTACCGCTTTAAAACATAAATATGATAAAAGGTACCCAAGGACGCCCATACTCGAACGTGTCAATAACTTATAAGATTAAGAATGAAAATTATCAATAGTATCTTTAAGAACGAAGGTACTCAAGCGTCGTGAAGATCGATGTTAATGGTATTTATTCGCGCGTTACATTACATCCATACAGCGTAACGCGTTCCTAATGATTTGTTCACTTTCAGTCAGGTAACAGCTTTATCAAAGTCGGTAACACCGGTGCTGATTCGCGCGAAAATATCGATACGGCGCAGGACATCCCTAGCGTCGGCGCCCGTCCCGCAAACTCGCCAGCCGCCCGACGAACTGCCCGGGCGCCCGGCAGCGCATCCGAACGAACGAAACGCCAACATCCGCACCATTGTCCACGCGAACGTGTTTACATACTCCGTCCCTATTGCGATTTTTTATCCCTTGCCCGTCCCTTTAGCGATTTTCCTCGTTCCCCATAGTGTTGTGCCGAATTTTAATCGGATTTCCCTTTGCGGCTGTGTGGTGAGTACGAATTATGTTTTTTTTTCCTAGTCGCTCTTGCGCACGTTCCGCGCGTGCGTGTTACGTCGTCGCACATTTCGATTTTCCCGCCTTGATGTGTTACAAGCTCGTAAGTAATTTCTGAAAAATAGAGTACCATTACGGTAAATGTTTTATGTGTTTTAGTTTATTTTTAAATTTGAAGGTGTACTTTAAAAGCTTCAAAGGTTATGTAGGTGTAGTTATCATGATCGTTTTTAAACAAAGAAGTCGTGATTAATTAAAATTTTTCTGGCACAGTTATAAAAAGCGAACAAAAAAAATAATTTAATATAAATGTGATTTTTTTTAATTTTTTCATGTAAGATGTCAAAAGAGCTGGTGGTTCACCCCTTGTTAAGTGATAACCGCTGCCCATGGATAGCCGTAGGGTTGCGGGTGTGTTGCCACCTTAACCCTTATGTGGGTCCCGGCCAGCTCATCAGACGAAACGCAGTTGTATAACACTTCCGGACCTGCCCATTTGTGTTATAGTGACCTGTTGCGTGGTCCTACCACGGTTAAGTTTTCATTGTGGATTGTATACTAATACTATAAGAGTGCAAGATATTTAAAGCATTTACCTAATTATAAAAAATAATGGCCACTAAGCATGAAATACGTGTACTATGATCAGGCGTCGGACCTCAGTTTAAAAAGAATTCCGTACTAAACGTTTCCTGACGTTGAATGGGCTTTCATGTTTATTGCGAATCCTTTATTATTACTCATAACTAATAGTATCCACAATTAATTAATGTTCTTTGACAAAATGACTCGACCAAATAACTGACATTTATTAGGGACTTTCTTTTAATGATTTCATATGGATAGGTTTAAAAATAAATAAGTCAGCGCATCCAAAATTCTCACGGCTCAGTTGTATAGACGACTCAGACTCCATATCTGAAACCTGTTGAAGGTCAACCCTACAAAGTAGACCTTGTTTTAAATCATATAAAGAAGGCACTTCATGATCTTATCGACTTGCGAGGTTCTAAGCTCAGGTGAATTCACTCGTTCGAATGAGCTTTACACCAGATGTATCTTCAATATAAAGATTTCATGTATTGTATCAACTCCCGTTAAAGCTAAACATTTTTTTTGAATAAAACTATTTAACGTCCTTGAGTCTGCCCCATGGCCATGGATGATGCGTAATATCCGTAATGTGTAGACGTTTGAAACAGAATTTAGTGCTATTATGTTATTTGGGGGTGCCCTCCTGTGTGTCCTATCGTATGCCGGCGACCACCACACGGAGCTCTTCTCTGTTCTGCGCCAATCTACAAAGACTGACGGCGTCCTTGATGTCTGTCCATTTTTTTAAATTGTCACTCCATGTTATTCGTCTTCGTCCTCTTCCCCGTTTTCCTACTATTTACCCTCAATTATAATTTTCAGTATGTAATATTTCCCATGTCTATATATATGTCCAGAATATGCGGTTTTATATTTTTAATAGTTATCAATATTGCTAGATGTTTCTTCATTATAAGTACTTCATTCGTTATTCTATCTCTCCATGAAATCCTCAACATGCGCCTATACAGCCACATTTCGAAGGCGTTAATTTTTTATTCGGTACTTTTGTTTAGCGTCCAACCCTCAGCCCCATACGGAAGCACTGACATAACGGAACACTTCACCATTCTCCATCTGAGTTGAAGTGCTATTAATTGCGTTATATAATTCTACGTTAAATTTATTTTGATTGTCTATTTAAAGTTGACGTGTCGTAGTGTTATGTAGTAATCACGTTAAAAAGCAAAGTCTTAAAAAAAACTAATTTAGAGTTTTTTAATGGACTTTTAGTTCCAAAGAATCTAAAGTTTACTTCGTCATAGGTTTGTTAGCACATATGCTACAATGAAGGATTGTTTTGGGGGATTTTTATTTAGATATTAAATGATTCAATCGGTCAATTGTGAGAGATATAATTATGTATGTATGGTTATTTGGTTATAACTGGTTTTTGAACAGATAGATTGTACAATCGAGGTTCAGGCTAGGCTAGAAAAAAACAAAAAATGGATTGCGATGTCATTTGTTAGAGTTATTTATATTTTTGATATACTTTATTATTTAGTTATAGTATAAGATGGAGACCTGGAAAATATAAATAAATCTTATTCGAAATTCGTCTGTAGTATTTTTAAACAATTTGGAAATAGCAAAGATTTTATTTCATTTAATTGCCTTGCATTTACATAAGATTATTTGTTATACAAATGTAGTCTATATTGAAAGAACGCTCTATTTGCTTTTCAAAGGAATAAAATTGTGAACGATAGTTATGTACTTAATACATTTTTTTTGTTAAAGTTGGCAAGCGACCAGGCGGTTCATTTGATTTTGAGTGATTACCGCCGCCCATGGCCATCTCCAACACCCGAGGATATGCAGATGCGTTGCCAACTTTTAAAAACGTGGTTCAAAAATGTTCAAAGTACATGCGACTGTAAAACATAAGATAGTTCTCGAGATCTTCGCACTGTGAAAAAATCGGGCAATGTTTTCAGTTGCCATAGATTCGAATCCTGGCAGAGCTATGATCTATTGGACTCACATGATGAGTGCACTATTTTTCTATTGAAAAATAGAAAAAATGGTCTTTCTATATAGCACAAACCATATAACGATCGATAACATAGACATATATGAAGTATGATAATATTTTATATTTACGCGATTATGGAGTATAAACGAAACAGTGGCTAGTTCGAAACGTATTTCGGGAAAAAAAATAACAAGAATAAACGCGGTAAGTGGGTAAAAAAAGTTTCATGTATAATATAAAGAAGCTGGGGAACATACATATATACGAATCGAACACTATTTTAATTGGTGTTATGCAGTAATGATGAGTCCGTGATGCAGTTGCCAAAGTATTGGTTTCGGTGTCGGGGGTAGTGGGTTCGATTCCCACACGGGATAACGTCCGTGACCGTTTGCGTGACCCACAGATTGTTGTTTCGCTTCTGGGTGTTCGTCCACGTGAAATTCATGTTTGTGAAACATCTTTACGACACAGGATAGTGTTATTCTAAAGTAAGGGCAATGTTGAAACTATGCTACGGGTGTCGCAAATATCCATGGGCGGCGGTTATCACGTAACATACAAAAAACATACACATAAAAAAATTAATAATAATTAAAAAAATATAATGATGACTGAACAAAGATACGCTCAGCCTTGACTTTGCTCTACTGGCACATAGTCTGGTTGCAGCTGAAGTCGACTTTTCCAGAACTCTCGGTTGATTTGAGGCTGTGCTGACTTTGATTTGCTGATGCACACCGTTGCGTGTGTACGTGTAATATGTTACGCGCACTGCTTTACGTTCTCGGGCTGTGAGTAATGAGCTTAGGGGCTGGGCTGACTCAAAGCTCCGATTTAGAAAGCGTCGGGGACAATGCACATTGGGGCTGGCATGTCCGTCGTTTCACCACATTGTAATCGGCGTAAACGTTGTTGCACATGGCAGGGATGGATAGTTTACATTTTGGCGGAATCTCGATAGATTACTGATCCTACCTAACCTACCTAACTACAGTATATACTGTAGTTTATCTGCAAATTAAGTTTACGCGCACAGCTCAATACTAATAACGTTGTTTTAATGGTATTACTGTAACTTTTTTTTTACTTTATTACATATTATGTTCAGTTTTAACTTTGTTTAGTTACTTGTTGTATAATAGTTCTTTTTTATGTAAGAAGATGGCAAGCTGTTCACCTGATGAAGAAAAATGTGTTGCAAACTTTCAATAAAGCAGGCCCTGCTACACTTCCACTTCACGGATCGGACATGCCAATTGGTGCAACAGCGAAGGCTGCTGCGTGGTTTGATAGAATAATTTCAATTATTCAGATATTTTGTAAATATTGTGCCAAAAAGCTTTGAGATATGACCGCAGATGTTGTATTGGGTCGAATAAATGCCATCTTTTTCCCTTTCTCCGTCTTTCTTTATCAATAGTAATAACAAAAAAACTATTATTTCAGTTAGACGTAATGGATTGCTTTTTTATGTGAGAAAATGGCGGTTCACCTGATGTTAAGCGATAACCGCCTCCCATGGATATTTGCAATACCTGTAGAGTTGCGAATGCGTTGCCACCTATAAATAAAGTGGGCCCCGGCTACCTCACTCACCAGACGTAACGCAGAAGTGTAACACTTCTACTTTACGCTGATCTTCTGTGAGGTCGTGGTACTTACCCGGCCTTACGTAGCTGCCCATTCGTGCAACAGTGAATACTGTTGCGTGGTCCTACCACAGTTAGCTATGATTATTTAAGGCATAATGGTCTTGTATGTATTTAATACGCATATAAGATTATTGTGTAACTTATTTTTTTTAAACATTGCCATTACGGTAAAATAACATTATAAATTTCACGGGAACAAACACCCAGGTCCGAAATAATTAGAGTCATCGAATTTCATCACTTCATCGATTAATAAAGTTCAATTCGAAGTAGCTTTGTTGAATTAAAACGGAAAATCGGCACGAAGAGATAAGAAATCATGATCGTAATATCTTTTTATTTGCACTAGATGTTTCGCGTACAAGGAAGCTTAAGTACATGTCTACTTATAATCTTAGCGAGCATTCAATGTTACGTTTGCTAGCTACACATTTCAGAGATATGAATAATGTTCGCTCGGCTCGCTTTTCATACCAAAGGTCGGAATCTTGGCATCGTGGAGTGGTCATTAATCATCGCTGACGCTCGGGTCGATAACAGCTCGCACCTGGATCTCAAGGTGCTGAGGTCATTTTAGCCATTTTCACTTGTAATGCAAGAACTCGTCTTGCTCGGTTTGCCCTTGCAGTTTGTCGGTGTGGTGTCTGAATAATTACAAACATTTTTATTAACAAAAAACCTAACCGAATTAGTATTTTTTTATGTGAGAAGCCCGTGGGGATGTAGATGCTTTGCCATCTTTAAATAAAGTGGGCAGCGGAAAATTC